TCCTTATGGAAAGGATGGTGTTCCAGCTGGAGCAGGTGTTGGTGCTGATGGTGTAGCTCATGCAGGAGGAGTTGGGTACCCGTATGGAAAGGATGGCTTTGCAGCTGGATCAGGCTTTGGTGGTGCTGGAGTAGCTGGTGCAGGGGCATTTGGGACTCCCTATGGAAAGGATGGTCTCCCAGCTGGGGCTGGTGTTGGTGGTGCTGGTGTAGAGGGAGTTGGGTTTCCCTATGGAAAGGATGGTCTCCCTCATGGAGCAGCCATTGGTGGGGTTGCAGCTGGTGGTTTTGGAGGTGTTGGAACTCCGTATGGAAAGGATGGTCTCCCAGCTGGGTCAGGTGTTAGTGGTGCTGGTGTAGCTGGTACAGGGGCATTTGGGGCTCCTTATGGAAAGGATGGTCTCCCAGCTGGGGCTGGTGAAGGGGGAATTGGTTCACCTTATGGAACAGACGGTCTTCCAGCTGGAACAGGTATTGCTGGTGCTGGTGCTGGTGTAGGGGGAGTTGGATCTCCCTATGGAAAGGATGGTCTCCCAGCTGGAGAAGGCTTCGTTGGTGCTGGTGTTGCTGGTATGGGGGTAGCTGGGTCTCTGTATGGAAAGGATGGCCTTCCTGTTGGAGCAGGTATTGGTGGGGCTACAGCTGGTGGTTTTGGAGGTGTTGGATCTCCCTATGGAAAGGATGGTCTCCCAGCTGGAGCAGGTGTTGCTGGTGCTGGTGTTGCTGGTGCAGGAGTTGGGTCTCCTTATGGAAAGGATGGTCTCCCAGCTGGAGCTGGCATTGGTGGGGCTGGTGTTGCTGGTGCAGGGGTAGCTGGGTCTCTGTACGGAAAGGATGGCCTTCCTGTTGGAGCAGGTATTGGTGGGGCTACAATTGGTGGTTTTGGAGGTGTTGGGTCTCCCTATGGAAAGGATGGTGTTCCAGCTGGAGCAGGCATTGGTGGTGCTGGTGTTGCTGGTGCTGGAGTTGCTGGTGCAGGAGGAGCTGGGTCTCTGTACGGAAAGGATGGCCTTCCTGTTGGAGCTGGCATTGGTGGGGCTGGTGTTGCTGGTTTTGGGGGAGTTGGATCTCCCTATGGAAAGGATGGTCTCCCAGCTGGAGCTGGTGTTGCTGGTGCTGGTGTTGCTGGTGCAGGAGGAGTTGGGTCTCCATATGGTAAGGATGGTCTCCCAGCTGGAGGAGGTTTTGTTGGAGCTGGTATAGCTGGTGCAGGAGGAGCTGGGTCTCCGTATGGAAAGGATGGCCTTCCTGTTGGAGCAGGCGTTGGTGGGGCTGGTGTTGCTGGTTTTGGAGGTGTTGGATCTCCCTATGGAAAGGATGGTCTCCCAGCTGGAGCAGGTGTTGGTGCTGATGGTGTAGCTCATGCAGGAGGAGTTGGGTACCCGTATGGAAAGGATGGTTTTCCAGCTGGATCAGGCATTGGTGGTGCTGGCGTAGCTGGTGCAGGGGCATTTGGGACTCCCTATGGAAAGGATGGTCTCCCAGCTGGGGCTGACATTGGTGGTGCTGGTTCAGGGACAGTTGGGTCTCTATATGGAAAGGATGCTATTCCAGCTGGAGCTGGCATTGGTGGTGCCGGTGCTGGTGCAGGAGGAGTTGGGTTTCCATATGGACAGGATGGTCTCCCAACTGGAGCCGGTGCTGGTGGTGCTGGTGTAGCTGGTGTAGGGGGTGTTGGGGCTCCTTATGGAAAGGATGGTCTCC